ATAAAAAATATTAGATTAGGACTAAAATTTATTTTTTTTCTAATAGTTGAAGTCCTTATTTATCTAATAGTGAACTTTTAACTATACCTTACCGTGCAAATTTTTGAGAATTTTTTTTTTAAAAATGTGAGTATTTGTACAGTGTCTTACGAGAAAGTAAGACCTCAACAACAATTCTCGAATTTTACTATTATTTATTGATTAGATGGAGTAGAAAAAAACTAAAAATAAGGTTTTTGAAATATTTAGGTTTTGTTTTTTACAATAAAATATATAGGTTACCGTGGAATTTATTGAGAAATTAATATTAAAAAAAAAAATTCAAGTAACCTAGTTGAAAATTTTTTGTGATTTTTAAATATTAATTTCTCAATAAATTCCACGGTAACCTATATATTTTATTGTAAAAAACAAAACCTAAATATTTCAAAAACCTTATTTTTAGTTTTTTTCTACTCCGTCTAATCAATAAATAATAGTATACTTAATTATAATTCAAAAATCGTTGTTGAAGTCTTACTTTCTCGTAAGACACTGTACAAATACTCACATTTTTAAATTTTTTTTTTCTCAAAAATTTGCACGGTAAGGTATAGTTAAAAGTTCACTATTAGATAGGTAAATAAGGACTTCAACTATTAGAAAAAAATTAATTTTAGACATAATCTAATATTTTTTATTTAACATTGGTGGCGAAAGGACCTCCTTAAAAGTGAGCATTTTGGCCGACGCACACTGGGGCAACAAGCCCTCAAATTTGGAAATAAATAAAAAAATTAAAGAGCATGTACACTCTACCTCATATTTTTTTTAGATGTTCCACTGTCCCCTGCATAATAAAACGAACAAGTGCGATTATCAGTTTTACTCGAATTTACTTACCTGCGCAGAGTATTATGTGCATTTTTCTTTCGTAGTTTTTAACTTGTTTTTGTGCTGTATTTAGGCTGTATTTTGATATTTTTTTTTAATTTTCGTCATGGAACCTTCAAGTTCAGGTATGTATTATTATTTTTATAAGAAAAAAGTTGCAGAAAAATAAACGTAATCTTATAGAAGTGGGATTAACTAAAATGAAGGTTAAACGTTAAAATTTTAAAATATTAAATACGTGAAGGCTATTTATTGTCCAAGCTCTAAATTTGAACTTTTCATTATGAATATTATTTGTACTTTTCGGAATCGTTTAGTTTTTGTGCACTTATTTCCACTTTTCATCACTATTTGGGTTTTTTCTAAGTATATAAATATGTAACGGGTGGGTCGTAAAAAAAACGAATTCGGTTCTTTTATTATATTTCGTTTACTAATAAACCGATATTACTGTCCTTAGGCTCATTTCATTGGCAACTAAATATGCTCCCAGATAGACATAACGAAATTGCTGAAATATAAAAATCCAAGATGGCCGGACACATTGAAAAAAACGAACTTAAAAGTAACTCATTTTAAGTTCGTTTCTCGTAATAATTATAAATTATATAAAATCTAATAAGAAAAGTTGAAAATCAAACAAATTATCTTTAAAATTCTTAATTGTTTTGGCCTTTATGATGAAAATCCATATTATTAAAATGATAAAAACCAAACATGGTAGATTTTCACAAAACTTTTAATTAAAATAAAAATTAAAAATTGCAGACAATTGTTTCGAAGTACAACTTCTTCAAATGTGACTTATTTACATTTCGGTGTCTAATGTAAAAAACAAACTAATTAGTCAAGATAGGTACTTAAGAAAAATATATCAACAAAAAATCCAATAAGGCACTATCGTTACCAGGATTATCTCACAGAAAACATCTGGTAAAGAGATTTAATAAAGGTGAGATTAATATCTAATTACGGGGTGGGTGGCTCAGTGGTAGAGTCTCTGAACCATTTAGAAACAATTGAAATAATCTAGTTAAAGATAGCGTCTTATTGGAATTTTTGTTGATATATTTTTCTTAAATACTTTAAGTAATTAGTTTGTTTTCTATATACGAGCACGTCCAGAAAGTAAGTTCCGTTTGGTAATAAAATTAAATTGTGTACAGATACAGAAAAATTATTTATTGCACAAAATTCTACAACTCTTAAACTACTTTTCCACATAACTGCCGAAATTTTGCAGGCATTTGTCATAGCGTGGCACAAGTTTTTGTATACCTTCTTCATAGAAGTTTGCCGCCTGTGTCTTCAACCAGTTGGAAACAGTTTCTTTCAGCTCATCGTCATTGTTGAAGTGTTGACCGCCAAGGAAAGACTTGAGATGTAAGAACAGATGAAAGTCGCTAGGAGCGAGGTCTGGGCTGTACGGAGGATGGCCAAACACGTCCCAGCCAAATTCCTGTAGGAGGTTTTTCGTCACATTTGCAGTGTGTGGTTGTGCGTTGTCGTGAAGAAAAAAAACACCTTTTGACAGCAATCCTCGGCGCTTATTCTGTATTGCGCGGCGCAATTTCCCAAGTGTCTCACAATAAGCATCTGCTGTGATTGTTTGACCACGCGGTAAGAAATCAATGAGTGTTCAGTTCCGTTATACAAGCTTCACCGTTATTGGTCATCTCTAAGACATTTAATTTGTAAATGCCGTTGCACCCTCAAGGAATACGACTATAATCTTAATCAAGATATTAATTTTAGATTGTTATATTGTTTTTGTTTTGGAATATGACTTTTGTACTGGTTTGAGATATGAGTTGTCAATCTTATATAAAAGAATAAACGTCTTTTTAATTCAACGAAATTTGAATATCAATCAATTCTAAACATAATTGGTCCTTCAGCCGAATAGTTGGTTAATCACATCGAAGATATCAATCGAAAAGCGAAAAATAAGTACCTATATCATTGGACTGGAAATCATTTGAAGGGTATCGTATTTTGGGGCATATTATCATTTAAACTAATTGGAGTTAATGTGAGTCATAATAATTCTTTGTCTCTGATATTTGTGCATTTATAGTTAGTCGGTCCTTTATTTTTTGCTAAAAAATAAACCATGAACGAGGAAACAAAACAAAGGTTAGCGGCCCTCAAAGCTGAGAGAGGTCACGTTAAGGCATATTTAACGAGATTTATTAAGTTTCTTGATAAATTTACTATAGATCAGATAGAACAATTACAACTTAGATATGAGAACATAATTTATAATCTTGAGCATTTTAATAAAGTACAACTTCAAATAGAATTAATTGATACAACTGAGGAAGGTTCAAATGAAAGTGAGCAACACGAAGAAAAGTTTTATCATGCAACAGCGCGGGCTAAAAAACTTCTTCAAAGTGATCAAAGTGCCATCGGAAATATCCAACACAATGCGCCTACGCCAATTTCTGATATGAGTTTAAATAAACCTAATATTAAATTACCAACAATGATTTTGCCTAATTTTAATGGGGATTATGAACACTGGGAACATTTTCGTGATATGTTCATAGCATTGGTGCATAGTGATGGGGCGATGGATAACGTTCGAAAGTTTTGTTACCTAAAAGGTGTTTTAACTGGTCCTGCAGCAAGAACGATTCAAGCCATAAAAATTACTAACGATAATTATCTGCTTGCTTGGAAATTATTAAAATCCAAGTATGAAGATACCGAAATTGTAACTAGAAACCATGTTAAAGCACTAGTAGATAGAAAACCAATTCAAGACGCGAATAGGGAATTGCTTAGTTTTACAGATGATACACAAGTGCATATTAGATCTCTAGAGTCTCTAGGTGAACCTGTAGATTCATGGGATACTCTCTTAAATTATATCATATATCAAAAACTTGATTCTGCTACTCAAGATGAGTGGGAGGAATATTTAAACACAAAAAAAATTAAACATCCAAAAACGAACATGTTAATTGAGTTTTTACAAGAACGGTGTAATATGTTAGAAAAAAAGAACAAAAAGGTCGAATCAGTAAACCGTGAGAAAAATGATAAGTCTCATAAGTATGTGCAATTTAATAAACATAAGAATTTTAAAAATTATTCTCAAGAAAAAACATTGATGCACGTTAGTTTCCAAGGTGTAAATCGTAATATTTCTTGTGTTTTTTGTAATGATGCACATTATATCTATGCATGTAATAAGTTCAAATCATTACCAGTAGCGTCTCGTTATGAGAAAGCAAAGCAATTAAAACTTTGTCTTAATTGCTTACGTACAAATCATTTATTAAACGAATGCACATCGCAAGGCTGTAAACAATGTTCTAAGCGGCATAATACTCTTTTACATTTTGAGAATCAGTCACAATCGAGTCATCAGGTAACTATATCCGATGAAAAAGCTGAAAATTCGTTAGTATCTAGCACTGTAACGCGTTTATCTGAAAATTCAGATACAGTACCTAGTAATAGAGATCATTCAATTTCAAATCATTGTGCTAAACAAGAATCGCATATCTTGCTTGGTACTGCCTTAGTTTATATCCATGATAATTACAACAATTGGCATATTTGTCGTGCTTTAATTGACAGTGGATCTCAGCCCAATTTTATAACTAAAGATTTGTGTCAAAAACTGAACTTTCCAATATCAAAAACTAATGTTCCTATATTTGGGGTAGGAAAATCGAGCACAAGTAGTTTATTAAAAGTTTGTTCAAAAATAAAATCTTTATGCGATGATTTTTACGCTAATCTCACATTTTTCGTGTTGGAAAAAATAACGGAGGATTTGCCTACGGTAGTAGTTGAAAAATCAAAATTACAGATACCAACTAATATAACGCTTGCAGATTCTCACTTCGATAAATCTGATAAAATCGATTTACTTATAGGGGCTGAATTGTTTTATCGATTATTAAAAGCTGATCAAATTCAGCTAGGAATTGGCCTTCCTATACTACAAAACACGGTCCTAGGATGGATTGTTTCAGGTCCCATTCCTCTTAAGCTTTTGCCAAAAAAACCCTTAATTTGTAATGTATCAACTAACGAGTCACTTGAATCTCAGTTAGAACGGTTTTGGGAAATTGAAGAATGCTTAAAACAAAATCTTCTTTCAAATGAAGAAAAAGATTGTGAACAAATATTCACGCAAACTACAACACAAGATGAAACAGGTCGATTTGTAGTCAATCTACCAATACGGCAGAATGTAAACGAATTAGGTGAGTCCATTGAAAACGCGATTAAACGACTTCAGTCAATGGAGCGAAAATTTCAAAGAAACTTTACTTTTAGGCAGCGGTACCTAGAATTTATGCATGAGTATGAAACTCTGGGGCATATGGAAAAAATTGATATAAATCGTGAAAACAGGCTGTCGCAAAATACGTTTTATTTGCCTCACCACGGTGTGTTGAATGGGAAAAGCACTACAACTAAACTTCGTGTCGTGTTTGACGGCTCTTGTAAATCCACCAGTGGCATTTCCTTAAATGATACACTAATGGTTGGCCCGGTAATTCAAAATGATTTGTTTTCAATCCTAATTCGATTTCGTAAGCATATTTACGCCATTAATGCTGATATCGCCAAAATGTATCGACAAGTTGTTATTAACAAGGATCAACAAGATCTCCAGCGAATAGTATGGCGTACAGATGTCGACAAACCTATTGATCATTATAGATTAAAAACTGTTACTTACGGAACCTCATCTGCACCATGGTTAGCGATTCGCAGCTTAATGCAAGTAGCAATAAATGAAAAACAAAATTTTCCTGTAGAAAGCGAAATAATAGCGTCCGATTTCTATGTTGATGATTTGCTCACAGGGGCAAACACCATAGAAGAAGCGTGTTATCTTAAAAATAATTTATCATGTTTGCTAAATAATTATGGGTTTGAGCTGAGAAAATGGGCAGCTAGCGACAAGCGAATATTGCAAAACACAGACATCAATTCTAAAAACAAATATTATATATCAGATAGTGAAACTAAATGTACTCTCGGACTTTGGTGGCAAGCAAATAATGATTTGTTTGAGTTTAACATCGATGTTTCCGATTCCCCAACTGATTTATTAACAAAACGTAGAATCTTATCATCGATAGCAAAAATTTTCGATCCCTTAGGTTTATTAGCAAAAATGTTGCTTCAAAAGATGTGGCAATTGAAGGTAGGTTGGGATGAACCTGTCCCACCTGAACTTTCTAAGTCGTGGTTACATTTTAAATCACAATTACCGATGGTCCTTAACATAAATATTCCTAGATGTGTAGTAACACCTAGATTTGAAAGGATAGAAATGCATGGATTTTGTGATGCTTCGGTGTCAGCTTATGGCGCCTGCATTTATTTAAAATCGATTGGTGTTGATAAAACAGTAACTGTTCGATTATTGTGTTCCAAATCGCGTGTAGCGCCATTAAAATTTATAACTTTACCTCGTCTTGAACTATGTGGTGCTGTATTACTATGTAACTTGTATTTAAGGGTAGTAGATGCGTTGAAAATAAAAATAGATTCATCATTTTTCTGGACAGATAGTAGTATCGTTCTTTCTTGGATAGCATCACCGCCTAGTACATGGAAACTTTTTGTAGCGAACCGTGTTTCCCAAATTCAATCTCAAACGATTTTGACTCAATGGTTTCATGTCCAATCAGTTGAAAACCCTGCAGATTTAGTTTCTAGAGGAACTGAGGCAGAACGGTTAAAATCGGATTCAATTTGGTGGATTGGTCCTAGTTGGCTTTCTTTAGATCAAGTTTTCTGGCCTAAAACTCATTTTAGTGTTAAAGAAGTTCCAGAAAAGCGTAAAATCAAAACGATAACTTTAAACGCAGTGTCAAATAAGTTAGATATTTTTGAAAGATTTTCTTCATTTTATCGATTACAGCGAATTACTGCTTTATGTTTTAGATTTTGTAACAATTGTAAAGTCATTAAAGAAAATCGCAAAGTTGACGAACTCTCTACAAATGAGTTAGACAAGTCACTGATTGCATTATTACGAATGGCTCAACATGAAAATTTTTCTTCCGAAATTGATTCGTTAACGAGAAAGAAAGCATTATACAAAAAATCTAGATTGCCATCTCTTAATCCATTCCTTGACGAAGATGGATTATTACGCGTAGGTGGGCGAATAACAAAATCTCATTTAAATTATGATACAAAACATCAATATATTTTACCTATAAAACATAAAATCACAAACTTAATAATATTGAGTGAGCATTATCGACAATTGCACGCAGGGGTACAATCTATTTTAGCTTCTTTGCGTCAAAAATTTTGGCTTATTGATGGTCGAACAGCAATCCGTAGTGTTCTACGTAATTGTATCGTATGTTTTCGAGCTAAACCGAGCACTATCAGGTGCCAAATGGGTAACTTCCCAAAAGATCGGGTCACTCCAAGTAGACCATTTTTAATTTCAGGTGTCGATTATGCTGGTCCATTTTACATCAAGGATGGAAAGTTGCGTAATCGTGCTATCGTAAAGGCATATCTCTGTATATTTGTGTGTTTCAGCACTAAAGCGGTCCACCTAGAGGCAGTTAGCGATCTAACTAGTGCTTCATTTTTGAATTCTTTAAAACGCTTTGTATCCCGTCGCGGGCTTTGTAAAACTCTGTACTCTGATAATGGTACTAATTTTGTTGGTGCTCATAATGAGTTAACTCAAGTTGTACAATCAATCAATACATTTATCAAGGAACGAAAAATTTCGGATTTTTTCTTAATAAATAATATTGAATGGAAATTCATTCCTGCCCACTCACCTCATCATGGCGGTTTGTGGGAGGCGGCCGTTAAAAGTGCCAAATATCACGTTACACGGGTAGTAGGTAATTGTCATCTTACTTTCGAGGACTTGGCTACTGTATTTGCACAGATAGAAGCGATAATGAATTCTCGTCCCATTACTCCTATGTCAAATGATCCTCAAGATCTAGCCGCCCTAACACCGGGACATTTTCTTATTGGAGAACCACTTTCTTCAATCCCTCAGGCAGACTATACCACTATCCCAACCAATAGACTCAAACATTATGAACATTTGCAACAAATTTCACAACACTTTTGGCAACGCTGGACCCGAGAATATTTATCCAACATGCAGCAACGCACTAAGTGGAAAGACAGATCCGTACCAACTCTTAATATCGACGATTTGGTAGTGCTTGTAGAAGAAAATACTCCATCCCAGTCCTGGCGATTAGGCCGCATAACAGAACTTCATCCAGGACCAGACGGTTTAACGAGAGTGGCTACAGTACGAACTTCAACAGGTTTAGTGAAGCGTGCGGTTCAAAAAATGTGCTTATTACCTCTAGAAAACATTTCAACAAGCGAGTAAATAATTTTATATTGAAACTTATGGTTTCAAGGCCGGCGGCATGTTCAGTTCCGTTATACAAGCTTCACCGTTATTGGTCATCTCTAAGACATTTAATTTGTAAATGCCGTTGCACCCTCAAGGAATACGACTATAATCTTAATCAAGATATTAATTTTAGATTGTTATATTGTTTTTGTTTTGGAATATGACTTTTGTACTGGTTTGAGATATGAGTTGTCAATCTTATATAAAAGAATAAACGTCTTTTTAATTCAACGAAATTTGAATATCAATCAATTCTAAACAATGAGTAAGATGCCTTTCCAGTCCCAGAACACTGTGCACATCATTTTTCGAGGTGTCAAGATTTGCTTCGGCTTAACCTTTGCTGGGGATGAAGTGTGCCTCCATTCCATTGATTGCCGCTTACTTTCAGGGGTGTCGTAAGAAACCCAAGTTTCATCTCCTGTGACTATCTGTGTCAGAAATTCTTCGCCACCTTCATCATAACGGGTCAAAAACTGAAGTGCACTACCCATCCGTTTTGTTTTGTGTTGCTCAGTAAGAATCTTTGGTACCCAACGTGAGCAAAGTTTACGAAATTTCAGTTTTTCGGTAACAATTTCATGAATTAGTGATCGTCAGATTTGGGGAAATTCCATAGCGAGAGCACTAATTGTAAACCTGCGGTTTTCCTGGATCTTTTCATCAATCGCGTGAACCAGTTCTTCTGTAACCAAAGATGGACGCCCACTTCGTTCTTCATCGTGCACGTCACTACGTCCTTCATTGAACTGTCGGACCCATCTTCTCACCATTGAATCACTCATCGCATTTTGTCCGTAAACATCGCAAATTTGCCGATAAATTTCAATTGGTTTCACTTTCCTCGCATTCAGAAAACGAATCACAGATCTGATTTCACAAGCGGCGGGATTTTCAATCAACACCGACATTATAAACAAGCACAACAAAGCGTACGTTACTGACAGCGACCTACAAATGGCACACGTTTCTTCTCCAGGATACAGAGCGTCTACCGCGGATGTGCGGAACTGCGATCGCAGCGCTGGAGCGGAGATAAATTGAAACGGAAATTACTTTCTGGACGTACTATTGGACACCGAAATTTAAATAAGTCACATTTGAAGAAGAAGTTGAAAAAATTATCTGTAATTTTTATTTTATTTTTTTACTTTCCTATCTGTATACAGATATAAGGAAAGTATAGGAATCATGATTTTTTTCGACCTCGAGTTTTCGACGGATTTTTACGTTTTGAGGTCCCCTGAATCCGTTTTGAGTGTGTGTGTGTGTGTGTGTGTGTGTGTGTGTGTGTGTGTGTGTGTGTGTGTGTGTGTGTGTGTGTGTGTGTGTGTGTGTGTGTGTGTGTGTGTGTGTGTGTGTGTGTGTGTGTGTGTGTGTGTGTGTGTGTGTGTGTGTGTGTGTGTGTGTGTGTGTGTGTGTGTGTGTGTGTGTGTGTGTGTGTGTGTGTGTGTGTGTGTGTGTGTGTGTGTGTGTGTGTGTGTGTGTGTGTGTGTGTGTGTGTGTGTGTGTGTGTGTGTGTGTGTGTGTGTGTGTGTGTGTGTGTGTGTGTGTGTGTGTGTGTGTGTGTGTGTGTGTGTGTGTGTGTGTGTGTGTGTGTGTGTGTGTGTGTGTGTGTGTGTGTGTGTGTGTGTGTGTGTGTGTGTGTGTGTGTGTGTGTGTGTGTGTGTGTGTGTGTGTGTGTGTGTGTGTGTGTGTGTGTGTGTGTGTGTGTGTGTGTGTGTGTGTGTGTGTG